ATGGTACTACCTACGTGAGCCTATGGTACTGCCTACGTGAGCCTATGGTACTGCCTACGTGAGCTTATGGTACTGCCTACGTGAGCCTATGGTACTGCCTACGTGAGCCTATGGGCCTACGTGAGCCTATGGGCCTACGTGAGCCTATGTGCCTACGTGGTTATCTGAACCAAATAAACTTATCTAGATAAAAAATCGAAGTCAATACAGCAGAGGCGTAGCTAGGGGGGGGCGGGGGGGGGGGGGGCGGCCGCCCCGGGCGCCGACCCTATGGGGGCGCCAAAAGGGGTGGGAAAAATTTTTTAAAGCTGATTTTATGCTGCAGTTTTGAATTATAAACTGTCTAAGTTAAGAAATATAATGGCTACACGCATTTACATACTGATTTAACTGTTTTCTATCTTGATTTCTTAATGTAAAACATATACTCTTAAGAAACAGTGACCGGCAAAACCGCTTTGAAGCTTTTCCTAGATGGGGGGGGGGGGGGGGGGCGCTTTTTCGAGACTTAAAACGGAAGAATTTACACTAGATTGTTGAGTCGATAAACGTTACCACTATTAAAAGAAACCAATTGTATTAAAACGTATTGTACGATTGTTGAACTGTAAAATACGTTAGTGACTTTTATCAAGATGGTGCAGGGGGGCGCTTTTAGGCTATATAAAATAGCAAAATTACACAGGATTCTGAGTAAACAACCTTTAGCTCTCAGAAAGAAACGAATTGTACTGTGCATTGTATAATTGTGTAACATTTTTTAAAAAAAAGTTAGTTACGTTAAAAACCGCTCTACAAACTTTGTCCAAGATGGTTGTGATGAGTGTGTGTGGGGGTGGGGGGGGGGGCGCTTTTTTCGCTAACAAAAATCGCAAGTATTTGTACTGGATTGGTGAGTAGATAACTCTCTTAACACTTAGTAAAGAAACCAAGTGTATTAACGCGTAATGTACAATTTCAATAGCCAGTTTTGTTAAAAAAAAAGACGCGACTAGTTCTTTGTAAGATTCCTACGATTCTCTCAACTTCAACGTGAGAGATCAGATACTTTTGATCAGTGTTTCTTCCAGACTTTTTTCTCCGGGGGGGGGCACTTGAAATCTTCGGGGGGAGGGGGGAGGCGGTAAACTTTCTTCGGGGGGGGGGGCGGACACTGTTAAAAGTATATATTTTCTATATATAAATTATATAAATTTCATTTCGTTCGGGGGGGCGTAAAAATTTTTCCGGGGGGCTTCGCCCCCCCCGAAAAGATGCCTGGAAGAAACTGTGTGCGAGAAGGCAGGGCAAATCTGCGAAATCCAAGACTACGAGCTGTTAACATCCGTTGGATTCCAGTTTGTTTTCTCTAGCTTGTTTTGTCATACCATCAACCAATCAACGAAATACCCATGTCGTATTCCAATGTGAACAATAAATATTTCTGATAACTTCTTCTTGTATGTCACTTGTGTGTCCTTACTCTAACAAACTTCGAATCCAATATGTACCATATCACAACAGAGATCGTTCAAAACTAGAACATAAAAGGCTGGTCTAAACATATTAGCGTTAGCTACAAACTACCCTCTAACACAGATCAGGCTTATTTTTTTTTACTGACATTACTAATCTTTCGCAAAAAAAGTTAAACGCATCTTAATGGGAATTAAATTGTCGTAAAGTTTTAAGGAATGAAAATCATACAATGTAATTATTAAACCTTGTCCGGACTGTAGCATACACGCTTACACACACAAATACACTCTTACCCACACACAAGCTTATATATAAACACACTATCACACACACATAATTATACACACACACACACACACACATATATATATATATATATATATATATATATATATATATATATATATATATATATATATATATATATATATATATAAGCGGGGGGGGGGCGCCAAATTGAAAGTTCGCCCCGGGCGCCGGGAAGGGTCGCTACGCCTCTGCAATACAGTAATCATGTCGTATTGATTTTAAAGGGAACACGATTTACAGTCAATGTGTACACGAAATGGTATATTAGACTTTGATAAAACTGTTTTACAAAACATCGCTGATTGTTTTATGGTTCAGATTTTATTGGAACTAGGGGCATGCGTTATTTTATAAACCCACACTCGGCTCTTTAGTTTGATAATACATTACTGCCTACCATTCCATTAGGGCAGGGGTCGGTAACACGAGACCCACTGAAGGGAAGAATTATTGCCCTTGTGCATTTGATAACAAAATTTGGTATAAAAAAAGTTGGAAAGTGTATTAGAAATAGAGACATTTGTTGTAGTGTAGTTTCTATAATGAAAGTTGTACACGTTTGTTAAGGAACTATACTACTTTAAGGGGGGGGGGGGAGGGGGTAGGCCAACAATTCTCAGGGAACTGTAAAATCTATGGAGAACCGACTTTTATACGTAGAGAGATATAATCTTTAAGGTGAAGTGACTAATGCATAGAACTGACTTATAAATGGAACTTTAAAAAACTTTAGGAGAACTGGCTGTAGCAATACACTGGCTGTAGCAATACACTAGCTGTAGCAATACAAAATACACCTTGGTGTTTTTTGACCAACTTTAAAAGCTGAACGTCATTGAACTTGAGACCACGAGTCAGGCCATTGAATGAAGTTTAACACGAGACCATGGCCAATGAATGAAGTTTAACACGAGACCATGGCCAATGAATGAAATTTAACATAACCATTGACAAAAGCACAGCCCCTCGCTACAACACACAATCCACCAACAGATACAACATCGGCGGGTTATCATAAATTTAGGGCTGGTTGTCACACGGAAACTCGCTGACTTGACTGGTTGTAAAAAAAAAAAAAATGACAAATTCTTGTAGATGACACACTACACCGACTCGTTCGGTTGGTTTATACCAGGTAGACCCCAGGTGTGGAGCGGCTTGGGGCAACGTTTGAACTAGACACAAGTTCTTAGACAAAAGCTATGGTAGAAAAAAAGTCCTTGACTGTATCTAGGCGTTATATTTATGTTGCAACACAAGGAAATATGACACCGTTTATGTTTTAATTGGGATTGGTTGGCTTTAGGTGTATAGCATTTAGTAGTTAAGGTTGTTTAAAGCAGATTCAGGAGCTGTCTTTGCTATTTTTTTTGGACGAATTAAAGTTCGTTCAGCATGAGTGCAGCTATTTAATGAATGTGCTTTTTGGTGCTGGGTATCATCCTTAAACTACTTTGTTGGGGGATTGAAACGCGCAATTTTTTTTTGCGGTTGTTGTATTGGAGATTGGAGATACTAAACACACTTTAAATCTAGACTAGGTTTGAAGAATACGATAAAGATTTGACTAGAATCTAAATTCTGCATGCTCCGTCATTCAGCTTCTGGTAGAAGTGGCGGAGTGAGAAGGTGGGGTTGGGGCAGGGTATACTTAGGTATAGGTCTGAAAACACTAACACTTAAATTTGAGAACGGTGGGGTTGGGGCAGGGTATGCTCAGGTATAGGTCTGAAAACACTAGAACTTAAATTTCCTTTTAAGATCTGGTAGCTGTTATGGTAGAAGAAGTAAAGTTCATCTGATAAAAATTAAAACGTTTTTTTTATGATTTTTTTTTAAGGAAATACTAAACCAGAAGTGGGGGTGGGCAGGACACACAAGTAGGTCAACACTACCTGGCACCCAGCTGGAACACTACACTACAATACACAAGACCGAGGGGCTAACGGCTACAAATTGGTACGAAAAAATATTAGGAAACAATTATGACGGTCCGACATAAGAGGGTATTAGAATGTCAAATTAGCTCAACAAAATGTAGACTTAAGCTTTAACGGAACAAAAAATGACGTGTTAGATGGCAATATCATACGTGGAGGTATGAATACATGTGGGAGTTGGGACGCTTCAAGTTATCAACAGCTCCAACAACCAACCATAAACAACGTGGGGGTTGTCAACTCCGTACTAGAATCTAGTATAGTACGAGCCTTTGTTTCAGCCAGCACATGCATATTGCCACATTTAAATGTAGTTGTTTGGGGCAATCCTTACTTGCTACACTGTTAGAAGCGGAATATCTCTTTCTCTACAACACGTCAGATAAATGCTAGGGAGATGTCAAATCAAAAGTGTAGAAAACTGTATGTAATAACATTTGCACATGAACTTATTAAACACGCAGTACTTATTTAGTTCCCCACTAGCAGGCATAACGCATACGATTATATTATTATAGAATACAGGCCCATAATCGATTATGGGGTGCAGGTTAAAGTACAAATGTCAGTTTGCACAAGTTAAAAAATGTCATCGGTAAATCCCCAATTAACAGCTAATTAGCTAATCTAGATTATATACTGCTCAAGTAATAAAAAAAAAATAGTCCATACCGAAAAACAATGTGGAATCAATTAAAATAAGAAAATAACCCGACACATTAGATACAAATAAAGTAGGTTAAAGTCACTGTTACTAAAATTGGCTTAACGGCCGGGCCCTAAAAAATTCTGCATGTAATATTGATCTAAGTTGTTGTGGAAAAGTAATAACAGCTAGATCTCTAGATATACATCTAAATAGCTCTGTATATCTATAAAACACGCACTCACATTCTAGTATTTTGAATTATAGGTGCAACACTACACTTAATTTTAATAAATAGCGAACCAGGTAAAGGCTAGAACAAATCGGCACATTGAAGCACATACATTATAGTTAGAGGACCAAACTGCAATATCCAACCAGAAAAATTAATGTAATTATAGATCTAGCACGAACCAGATAAGTAACAAGCAGGTAACGAAAGTGTGACTAATTTAAGGCCCATACACTACGGGTCAAATCAAACCAATAACGGCCGGGTAGAGACTTGGACCAAACCGGAAAGTCAAGATTTTCACAAGCTGTGACTAAACCAGCTACACACTGCCTGAATGATGGAAATTAAGCTAGAACTGCAGCTCCACGGTATGGCTGCAGTCATAACACACACGTTAGAAGCGAAAACACACCTAAATATCCCGTGTAGACGTTTGGTTGACTGTGCAGAAGGGAACACACGCAGCTGTCAACACGGCCAGACAACACAACACCTACGTGTTGGCGACAGTACCTGTAGCGTGACGTCGTCCTGACCTAGCACACTCACCGCCGCCTCGATCGATGGGGCCGATGCTGACTCGTGCACAACAGTGGGGGGACGTCTGGGGTGTGGGGAGACGTCTGGGGTGTGGGGGAGTGTGTGGGGAATGGGGGAGAGGATGGGAGAGACGTCAAGGGAATGGGGGAGAGGATGGGAGAGACGTCTATGATATTGGGGAGAGGATGGGAGAGACGTCTAGGGAATGGGGGAGAGGATGGGAGAGACGTCTATGATATTGGGGAGAGGATGGGAGAGACGTCTATGATATTGGGGAGAGGATGGGAGAGACGTCTAGGGAATGGGGGAGAGGATGGGAGAGACGTCTAGGGAATGGGGGAGAGGATGGGAGAGACGTCAAGGGAATGGGGGAGAGGATGGGAGAGACGTCTATGATATTGGGGAGAGGATGGGAGAGACGTCTATGATATTGGGGAGAGGATGGGAGAGACGTCTAGGGAATGGGGGAGAGGATGGGAGAGACGTCTAGGGAATGGGGGAGAGGATGGGAGAGACGTCTAGGGAATGGGAGAGAGGATTGGGGGAGACGTCTAGGGAATGGGGGAGGATGGGAGAGACGTCTAGGGAATGGGGGAGGATGGGAGAGACGTCTAGGGAATGGGGGAGGATGGGAGAGACGTCTAGGGAATGGGGGAGGATGGGAGAGACGTCTAGGGAATGGGGGAGAGGATGGGAGAGACGTCTAGGGAATGGGGGAGAGGATGGGAGAGACGTCTAGGGAATGGGGGAGAGGATGGGAGAGACGTCTAGGGAATGGGGGAGAGGATGGGAGAGACGTCTAGAGAATGGGGGAGAAGATTGGGGGAGACGTCTAGGGAATGGGGGAGGATGGGAGAGACGTCTAGGGAATGAGGGGAGGATGGGAGAGACGTCTAGGGTATGGGGGAGAGGATGGGAGAGACGTCTAGGGAATGAGGGGAGGATGGGAGAGACGTCTAGGGAATGGGGGAGAGGATGGGAGAGACGTCTAGGGAATGGGGGAGAGGATGGGAGAGACATCTAGGGAATGGGGGAGAGGATGGGAGAGACGTCTAGGGAATGAGGGGAGGATGGGAGAGACGTCTAGGGAATGGGGGAGGATGGGAGAGACGTCTAGGGAATGGGGGAGGATGGGAGAGACTCTAGGGAATGGGGGAGGATGGGAGAGACGTCTAGGGAATGGGGGAGGATGGGAGAGACGTCTAGGGAATGGGGGAGAGGATGGGAGAGACGTCTAGGGAATGGGGGAGAGGATGGGAGAGACGTCTAGGGAATGAGGGGAGAGGATGGGAGAGACGTCTAGGGAATGGGGGAGAGGATGGGAGAAACGTCTAGGGAATGAGGGGAGGATTGGAGAGACGTCTAGGGAATGGGGGAGAGGATGGGAGAGACGTCTAGGGAATGGGGGAGACGTCTAGGGAATGGGGGAGAGAATGGGAGAGACGTCTAGGGAATGGGGGAGACGTCTATGGAATGGTGGAGGTTGGGGAAAAGTGGGGGGAGGGACATCTAGGGTGTGGGGAGGCGTCTGGGGAACGGGGGAGGATGGGAGAGACTCTAGGGAATGGGGGAGGATGGGAGAGACTCTAGGGAATGGGGGAGGATGGGAGAGACGTCTAGGGAATGGGGGAGGATGGGAGAGACGTCTAGGGAATGGGGGAGAGGATGGGAGAGACGTCTAGGGAATGGGGGAGAGGATGGGAGAGACGTCTAGGGAATGAGGGGAGAGGATGGGAGAGACGTCTAGGGAATGAGGGGAGGATTGGAGAGACGTCTAGGGAATGGGGGAGAGGATGGGAGAGACGTCTAGGGAATGGGGGAGGATGGGAGAGACGTCTAGGGAATGGGGGAGACGTCTAGGGAATGGGGGAGAGAATGGGAGAGACGTCTAGGGAATGGGGGAGACGTCTATGGAATGGTGGAGGTTGGGGAAAAGTGGGGGGAGGGACATCTAGGGTGTGGGGAGGCGTCTGGGGAACGGGGGAGGATGGGAGAGACTCTAGGGAATGGGGGAGGATGGGAGAGACTCTAGGGAATGGGGGAGGATGGGAGAGACTCTAGGGAATGGGGGAGGATGGGAGAGACGTCTAGGGAACGGGGGAGAGGATGTGGAAAAGTGGGGGTGATGTCTGGGTGGGGTTTGGAGGAAAGAGTGGGAGAGACGTCTAGGATATGGGACGCCTGGGGTAGGGGCAAAATGGTGGGGGGACGTCTGGGGTTTTGTGGGGAGGATGAGGGTGACTTCTAGAGTATGGTTGAAGCGTGGGGGGGGGGGGTAGGTCTGTGATGTGGGAGAGGAGGAGGAAGACGTAAGAGGAAATGTTAAGGCGAGACATAAAGGGTATTAACGTCATGGGTATTGACGTCAAGGGTATTAACGTCATGGGTATTTGGGTATTAGAGAAAGAATGGAGGAGACTGATAAATTGTGAGGTGAGAGAAAGCACTAGGGAAGGAGGGGAGAGGGCTATTTTGCCAACTGTTACATATCAGGTGCAGTATATCCTATTTGCCGTATTGTTATGCATGGCTTAAGATGGTGTTAACAAGTGTTAGAAGTGGTGTTAGATGTTATGTTTATGTGATGTTGATGTGGTGTTACATGTGGTGTTTTATGTGGTGTTTGATGTGGTGCTAGATGTAGGAGGCTTCAGTTGGTGTTGGTGTGATGATGTGGAGGGCTTAAGCTTCTGTTAGAGGTGTTCCTAAGAGCGGTGTTTATGTGGCTGGATGTGGTGTTCGATGAGGAGTTGATGTAGTATTAGATGCAGTGTTAGAAATGGTGTTAGATGTGGAAGGCTTCAGTTGGTGTTGGTGTGGTGTTGATGTGGTGTTGATGTAGTATTAGATGCAGTGTTAGAAATGGTGTTAGATGTGGAAGGCTTCAGTTGGTGTTGGTGTGTTATTAGTGTGGTGTTGATGTGGTGTAAGTTGTGCACGATTTAAGCTGATGTTACATGTGTAATTGATGGTGGTGGTGGTGGGGATAGGAGAGCGAGTTTTTATCTACTATTTTGGTTTAGCCAAAGTAAAAAAAATTGAAAACAAAAGTAAACAAAATATGTCTCTGTACATTTCATTGTTTTATGACAAATAAATAGCTGTCCTATTCGCCAGATTTGAGAATAAAATTAGCGATGGAATTTGACTTTCACATCTTAAAATAATCAACTTTTAGATGTCCCAAAATATCTTCTAGTGATAACCCTTGCAGTAACTGCATCATGAACACTACATTTCTTTTTCAGAATTACCTAATTACAACGTATTATAGAAATTTTATTTATAAAAATTATTGAAAGCTTAGAATATTACTGGACACAGTTTCATATCAAAACCTAAATCAAATCCACCTTGTGCTTATCCCATACACTTAAACAAGAGTAAACTTCAGTTTTATTTGCCATCCCACCATAAAACAGTCTCTTCTAGAGAGTTAAGCCCCTTTCATCTATCAGTAGGGTCTAGTGTTGGACTAGCAGCCCACGCGATTAGCGCCACCAAATTATCTAGCTCTGCAGAATTGACAAGGGCGTCCTACGCAAACAAGTTTTGGTCTATTCAAGACAGAACTACCTGCCCGATTTAGGTGTGACCTAGTTATGAATTCAGCCAAGCCGGGATTAAGCGACCTGTGACGGGATAGGAATTTAGAGTTGGGTTCGAACAACCCCAGTAATGGAGGTCTGGTACTGTTGAAGGACATGTTATAACATGGGGGGGGGGGGGGGGGAGTATGTAGGTGTTGGTGAGGGTGAAAGTAGATGGTGGTGGAGGTGGAAGTAGTTGGTGGTGGAGGTGGAAGTAGATGTTGGTGGAGGTGGAAGTAGATGTTGGTGGAGGTGGAAGTAGATGTTGGTGGGGGTGGAAGTAGATGTTGGTGGGGGTGGAAGTAGATGTTGGTGGAGGTGGAAGTGGATGGTGGTGGAGGTGGAAGTAGTTGGTGGAGGTGGAAGTAGATGTTGGTGGGGGTGGAAGTAGATGTTGGTGGAGGTGGAAGTAGATGTTGGTGGGGGTGGAAGTAGATGTTGGTGGAGGTGGAGGTAGATGTTGGTGGAGATGGAAGTAGATGTTGGTGGAGGTGGAAGTAGATGTTGGTGGAGGTGGAAGTAGATGTTGGTGGAGGTGGAAGTAGATGTTGGTGGAGGTGGAAGTAGATGTTGGTGGAGGTGGAAGTAGATGTTGGTGGAGGTGGAGGTAGATATTTTTAGTAGATGGCGTTGGTGGAGGTGGAAGTAGGTGTTGGTGGAGGTGGAAGTAGATGTTGGTGGAGGTGGAAGTAGATGTTGGTGGAGGTAGATGTTGGTGGAGGTAGATTTTGGTGGAGGTTGATGTTGGTGGATGTGGAAGTGGATGTCGGTGGAGGTGGAAGTAGATGTTGGTGGAGGTGGAAGTAGATGTCGGTGGAGGTGGAAGTGGATGTTGGTGGAGGTGAAAGTAGATGTTGGTGGAGGTGGAAGTAGATGTCGGTGGAGGTGGAAGTGGATGTTGGTGGAGGTGAAAGTAGATGTTGGTTTATGTAGATATTGGCTGAAATGAATTTAGCGTAAATCGGATGCTGAAAGTGGAGTGGATGTCGATAGCAGCAGAGACGGGTGAGTCACAAACACAAGTGGGTTATGGTGACATTGTTTTCTCGCTGCTATGGTAACAACAGTGTATACATTATACCCTATTATATAGTTATTTAATAACTGTTATTAAAAATACATTCTTAAAGCTATGCATACATTAACACTGCGATACAGAATCACGCTCAATATATCAAAACTCAGCTTTATATTTTAAAAGAAACAACTATTTACACAATAATCTTGACATACAGATTTAGAAAAAATGTAACTTTAACAAACAGGTAGCACCTCAAAAGAAAATGATTTGTCTTACAACGTAATAAAATAAAATTAACAAAGCTAATGACACTGCCTACCCGGCTCCAAGATCTAGAAATAGATTCTAGACTTCTG